ACATATATATATATATATATATATATATGTTGATATGTAACATTCTAATCAAAATGATTACGTCTACAAAAATGATAAGAATTTATTTTACACATGTGTATCTTTCTTAGGAACATAAAGGCTTTATTAGTTAATTCGTTATAACAAGTTTACCACGTTCTAATGAGACTGACGGAGGTTATTGTACATAGAATCTGGAAATTATGTGTGAAATAACTAAAGATGAGCGGTGGGAATATTCGACTGAGTTTAACAATAGACAAATTCTCAGGAGTAGAGTACAATACAATAGTTGATTAACTTCTCTGTTAAAATTCTCTTTAGAAAATACAACTCGATGTTAACATGTGTTCTTTTTGGATTAATTTTATAACGCAAGATATAGAACTTTTGGTTGCATTGTTGTGAGAATGTATTCGTATACATAAATTTGATGAAGGATTTTTGTAATACTGAAGATGACCTAATTTAAGTTCGAAACGTCTATTATTTAATTGTTATGTGATTACAATATAAAATATTAGCTGCCAATATCCTGCGTTGTGGTGTATGCCGTTGAGAAATTCGACATGTGTATCTTTTTCATTTTGTCTTTTCACTCTGCCTGTGTTTAAAACTTTGTATTAAATAATGTTTTCTAATTCGTCACCTTTTTTTTTTAAATTAATTTTGATTAATCTTTCTCGTAAGTTACAGTTAATTTCTATTATAAGATATATTTCTTACACAAAAAGGACAATGGGCTTATTCATTTATAATGCATAACAATAGTGCAGAAAATTGTTTAATAAATTTGAAGAATTTATTTTTATGAAGAAAAAGTTCATGTTTTTCCAATAATCAATTTAGAAAATATAATAATATCAGCGTACTTTTGATTTTTTGTTTTATACCTGCATTTTTATGTAACAACAAGAAACTGATTTAGGACAAATTTGACTAGGAAGTATGTATGGTTGTTGCTCCATACAAGGTGGACCTATGTCAGTATCTTCTTCAGTTTTCTTCGGTTTACATTCCTTTTTCGGTTTTCTTTTCTTGGGAGGACACATTGAATGAAATTTCTCCGAAGCCCATTCTACTCCTAATTGTATTATACAAATAACTTAAAATAATTTTTGTCTTAATTTTTAAAATACTGATTAGGATATAATTATTAAATGTGTATATTATAAAGTAGAATATAATATATAATGTGTGATAAATTTGATTTTATATTAAGAGTTTGTAAGATCATTGTGTGCCGATTATTTTATAATGTGAGAAAATAAACTTACCGTAATTAAATAATTGTTTTACAATATTCTCGTGCGATGTATCATCCGTCATATTGGGTGACGATAAAGATTAATTTTATTCCAATTTTGATATTATGTAAAAGTGTTGCAATCATGATCATTTACAATTTTCACGCACTAAGAATGTATTATTATTAACATTATCAGTCATTTGTGACAAATGAGATATCTATCACATATTTTTAAAAAGACAAATTGCAAATTTCAAGACATTTAATATTTTAATGAGGACTTGGTTAGATGACGTGAGCGTGTATGTATGTAAGCGAATGTAGCGGCGAATTAGATTGCGTATTAAAGTATAATTTAGAAGCGATAAATAGTTTATTAGGTGTGAACAAGCAGGATTAGGTGACATAGAAGCTATATAAATAAAGAAGATAAGAACCTTGCAGCAGTAGGATTGTTTTGTACGAAGTAAGGAGAAGGAAGATAGTTGAGATTATAGCGTCGAAAGACGCGAGCGGCTCGTCAGGGAAGAGGGAACCGGAAGGGGAAAGACGGTAGACAATAAGAGAAAGTTGATAAGAGAGGCGAGGGGCTCAGATAGCGAGAAAAAGGTGACATTTAAGTTAAATGATGGGATAGAGAGGAAAGGACGTAGAGGAGAAAAATCTTCTTCAAAATTAATGGCATTCGCCACGAAATGGCCAGAATCGTAAATAAATCAATTTAAAATTAATGTGTAATACACCGGTCATCTCAAACCGGTGAATGGGATGAAGTAATGATGTAATTAAGACAAATAATGTAACAAAATGCACAGTCGAAGCCGGAAACGCTTTTCAAAAAATGAGTGAGGTGATGCCCGAAGCGGGTGAGACGTACATCCGTTCTGCTCGAGTGGTGAGCTCTTTCATTCTTTTACCATTCGCCGCATACTTAAGTTTTTACTATACTATCACTTCAGCTGCATTATTTACTTAGATGGCGTTATCGTACAGCAAGTTTTGTCATTCCTAAATCCCGGGCAATGGGAGAGTTCATATGATTGAGCTTGATTGATTTTTATTTGTGGGTTCAACTAATGTTTAGGCAAACAGATCCGATTTGCCGATTTGAACACGCCCATTTACACTCATTCGTTGCCTATTTGTCAAAAGATACGCTTGAATATGCTTCTGTGAGATCAATATAAAATCATTGCTGATATTATTTTGTCGTGTTGACGTATTGTTTCACTCAGGAAGCTTGATACGGTTTTGAAAACGGAGTGACCTTAACAAAAGTGAGCAAATTCATTAGGTATGGAAATTATTAATATTTTAGTAAATTTGCTATTACTTTTGTAATTTTCATCTTATAAAAACGATAATAACGCCCGGTTTCACCAACTCCGATGAAGCTAATCGGTCGATTAAATTTCAGTATTGCCAACAGTTCTACTTCCTCCAATCCTAACTTCTATTCACTCAACGCGATCGTTAAGCCCATATGAAAACATAAGACCGTAAAGGCCATTCCACACAAACTTGCATAGCAGCATAAAGAAAATTATTCAATCACATTTCTATCATAAAGGCAAATGTAAAATATGATGATTTTCATTATGCATATGTTTATGCGGCTATGTAGGTTTGTGTGGAATGGCCCTAAGATGTAATCAGTAAACGAACTGCCCAATCACGGTAGAGACCATAAGGCCAGTAGCGAATCTAATGTTACGATATCCTCATTGATTACGTCTTACGGTCTTATGTTTTTTTCATCTGCTCCCTCGGCTTTAAAGTGAGTAAGAGCTGTGGTAGGAACGTAGATATAAAGGGTGTCCCAAAATTAACGCAAGATTTAAATTTGCCGACATTTGTGCAGTAAAGTGTTGGCAACCCAAAAAAAAACAATTTAACAGTTGACAGTATAGGGTTAGTGAAAATGGAACGTTACACGATAGAACAACGTGTGTTCATTATTGAACAATATTTCAAAAATAATGAAAGTTTGACGGCCGCAGTTCGAAAATTTCATACAAAATATGGTC